AGAAAAAGCTAAAAAGAATAAAATTGTAAGCTGTTCCTGAACAGTCAGGACAAGGGCTGATCAAGTCATTGCTTCTCATAGTGTCAGTTTCATTTCAAGGTTTCCTTTTAGGTACTCAGTTAGTTGTCACAGATCAGGGAGGACATATGATATTTGTCCCTTTGGAACTGGCTTATTTTACTCAGCATGATGTTTTCCAGATTCTTCCATTTTGTTGCAAATGACTGGATTTCATTTTTTTTTTTTTACTGCTGTGTAGTATTCTATAGAGTACATGTCCCATAATTTCTTTATCCAGTCTTCTGTTGATGGGCATTTAGGTTTATTCCATGTTTAAATATTGTGAATTGAGCTGCAAAAAACTCTAAGGTGTAGATAGCTCTTTTATTTGACAATTTAATTTCCCTTGAGTAAATTCCAAAGAGTGGGATGGCTGGGTCGGGTGGTAGGGCTATATTCAGGTTTCTGAGGAATCTCCAAACTGTCTTCCATAGTGGCTTTACCAGTTTGCATTCCCACCAACAGTGGATTGGTGTTCCTGTTTCCCCACATCCTCGCCAGCATCTGTTCTTAGTTGATTTCTGTATGTAAGCCATTCTAACTGGAAGAGGTGAAACCTCATTGTGGTTTTGATTTGCATTTCCCTGATTGCTAGTGATCCTGAACATTTTTTCATGTGTCTGTTGGCCATTTGGATTTCCTCTTTTGAAAAATGTCTATTGAGGTCCTTGGCACACCTCCTAAGCAGTTGTTTGTTTTGTTGTTGTGGAGTTTTTTGATCTCTTTGTAGATTCTGGTTTTTAACACTTTATCAGTTAAATAATATGCAAATGTCCTCTCCCATTCTGTCAGTTGCCTCTTCACTTTCCTGACTGTTTCTTTTGCAGTACAGAAACTTCTCAATTTGATGCAATCCCAATAGTTAATTTTGGCTTTGACTGCCTGTACCTTTGGGGTTTTTTCCAAGAAGTCTTTGCCTGTGCCTATATCTTGCAGGGTTTCTCCTATGTTCTCTAATAATTTGATTGTGTCGGGTCATATATTTAGATTTTTAATCCAAGTTGAGTGGATTTTTGTGTAAGGTAGAGGTCTTGCTTCATGATTCTGCATGTGCAAATCCAGTTTTCCCAGCACCATTTGTTGAATAGACTGTTCTTGCTCCGGGAATTGGTTTTAGTTCCTTGATCAAATATAAGTTGGTTGTAGATGTTTGGATTGATTTCTGGTGTTTCTATTCTGTTCCATTGATCTATCCATTTGTTTCTGTACCAGCACCATGCTGTTTTGATTATAACTGCATTGTAGTATGTCTTGAAATCTGGTATTCTGATGCCTCTGCCTCTGTTTTTGTTGTTCAGGCTTTCTTTTTGCTTTTTGACAGGTAGAGTTATAGACAGTGAGAGGGAGAGACAAAGAGAAAGATCTTCCTTCCATTGGTTTACTCCCCAAATGGCCAGCTAAGGCTGGTGCTGTGCCAATCCAGAAGCCAGGTGCTTCTTCCTGGTCTCCCATGCGGGTGCAGGGGCCCAAGCACATGGGCCATCCTTCACAGCCTTCCCGGGCCACAGCAGAGCTCTGGACTGGAAGAGGGGCACCGGGACTAGAACCCAGAACCCATATGGGATGCCGGTGCCACAGGTGAAGGACTAGCCAAGTGAGCCACAGTGCGGCCCCTCAAGATTTCTTTAGCTATTCGAGGTCTCCTGTGCCTCCATATGAATTTCAGCATCATTTTTTCCAGATCTGTAAAGAATGTCTTTGGTATTTTGATTGGCATCACATTTAATCTGTAAATTGCTATTGGAAGAATGGACATTTTGTTGATATTGATTCTTCCAATCCATGAACATGGAAGACTTTTCCATTTTTTGGTACCGTCTTCTATTTCTTTCTTTAAGATTTTGTAATTCTCATCGTAGAGATCTTTGACGTTTATTCCAAGGTACTTGATTGTTTTTGTAGCTATTGTGAATGGGATTGATGTTAGAAGTTCTTTCTCAGCCATGGCATTGTTGTATATACAAAAGCTGTTGATTTTTGTGTTTTGATTTTATATCCTGCTACTTTGCCAAACTTTTCTATGAGCTCGAATAGTCTGTTAGTGGATTTCTTTGGATCCTCTAAATAAAGAATCATATCATATCATCTGCAAAGATGGATAGTTTGACTTCTTGCTTCCCAATTTCTATCCTTTTAATTTCTTCTTCTTCCCTAATGGCTCTGGCTAAAACTTCCAGGACTATGATGAATAGCAATGGTGAAAGTGGGCATCTCTGTCTGGTTCCATATCTCAGTGGAAATGCTTCTAATTTTTCCCCATTCAATAGGATGCTGGCCATGGGTTTGTCATAAATTGCCTTGATTGTGCTGAGAATGTTACTTGTATACCCAATTTGCTTAGAGTTCTCATCATGAAAGGGTGTTGTATTTTATCAAATGATTTTTCTGCATCTATTGAGATCATCGTATGTTTTTTCTTCTGCAGTCTGTTAATGTGGTGTATCACATTGATTGATTTGCAAACGTTGAACCATCCCTGCATACCAGGAGTAAATCCCACTTAGTCTGGGTGGATGATCTTTCTGATGTGCTGTTGCATTCTATTGGCCAGGATTTTATCGAAGATTTTTGCATCTATAGCCATCAGGGAAATTGGTCTGTAATTCTCTTTCTCTGCTGCATCTTTTTCAGCTTTAGGAATTAAGGTGATGCTGGCTTCATAGAAAGAATTTGCAGGAATTCCCTCTCTTTCAATTGTTTTGAATAGTTTGAGAAGAATTGGAGTTAGTGCTTCTTTAAAATGTCTGGTAGAATTCAGCAGTGAATCCATCTGGTCCTGGGCTTTTCTTTGTTGGGAGGGCCTTTATTACTAATTCAATTTCTGACTCGGGTATGGGTCTATTTAGGTTTTCTATGTCTTCATGGTTCAATTTAGTTAGGTAGTGGGTGTCCAGTAATCTATCCATTTCTGCTAGATTTCCCAGTTTGTTGGCATATGACTCTTTTTATTTCTGTGGTGTCTGTTGTTGCTTTCCCTTTTTCATCTCTGATTTTATTGATTTGGATCTTTTCTCTCCTTTTTTTGGTTAGTTTTGCCAATGGTGTGTCAATTTTGTTAATTTTTTCAGAAAACCAGCTTTTCATTTTGCTGTTCTTTTGTAATGTTTTTTGATTCAATTTTGTTCATTTCTTCTCTAATTTTAATTATTTCTCTTCTCCTACTAGCTTTGGGTTTGGTTTGCTATAGTTTTTCTAGATCCTTGAGATGCTTTGATAGCTCATTTATTTGTTGCCTTTCCAATTTCTTGATGTAGGCACCTATTGCTGGATTAGGGTAGTGTCTGCTCTTTTAGTGAATACCCAGAGGTGTGTGCTGGGCGTGGTCAGGGAGCGTGGCAAATCTCCTCTTTTTTTTTTTTTTTTTTTTTTTTTAATCAGAGGAGAGGTTGAATGTGCCTTTGGCATAGTCTCATGCTCCCCTCCTCTCTTCCAAGTATACTAATGCCTGTTTGCCAGCCCCAGTGGGTATAATATCCATTTGCACTGCCATAAGAACCACACAAAGGATCTGTACAGTCTTCAGTGTGAGCACGGATCCTGCAGCAATGACCCTCACCAGGGAATCAGGGAGCCCTGAGTGTGTGAAGCCCCTGCAGTAACTACTCAAAGACCCAGCCACACCCTGCACCACCATACACAGCCACAGTGTTTTTACAGTCCCAACACACAAGGCTCCCAGAGTCACGAACACCCAGCCCGCTGTCAATTCTCCCAGCCAGACTCAGGCATCTCCTCTTAGCTGGTAGCTGGGCTTACAGACACAGTTACATACATTAAAAATGGTGATCACCCACTTTCAGCCAGTTATAGGACACTGGTGCTGGGTGGTCAGAAATGTGCCTCCTTTTTTTAATCCCTCTAGGTTGGCCGATATACTATCCCCACAGGGCTCCAAGACTGTGGCTCCAAGGCCAGGTTCTCCCTGCAGCTTTATCACCAGTGTCTTGGGCTGCTGAAGTCTGGTCTCACCTCACTCTCCGGAGCTGGTGCTGAGTCTCTCGGCTGCCAGGGTCCTGAGTTGTGTGCATCCACACCCTCCGTGTAGATCCACAGTGTCCCTCTGATTTGTGTGGAGTTTCCTCTGCCATTTTCTCCCTAACTCTTCCCTGAGTTTGCATTCTCTCCACGTTGTTTTTAATTGTCTTCCCCTAGACTACTGCATCTCTATTCTGTCATCTTGATTCTCTCCAACATTACATCTTAATTCAGGGATTTACTTCAGTTAATTAAGAAAACTACCTGGCTAGCATAAATACATAATGACAGATTCTATTCACTGTTTCTTTTTATAGACTCCATGGAATCAGTACCCTTTTGCTATGACAATATTAATTTGAATCTTTAAAAAATTAAATTATTTGTCTAATATCAGCTGAAATATGATTGGTCAACATCAGCTTTTGAAAAACTTTAATCACTGAAGGAGACATTTGAAGGATGGACTTTGGTGCTTAGACTTTGGTACAGTTTACTATGCAGCTCCTATGAGGATTGCCAGTGATCCATTCCTCTTGATGTTGGTGCCATTGTGGGATCCTTGTGTGGCCTGGACTTAACAGTGAACTAAAATGAATGTAATGTGGAAGAAATGGGGGTAGGCAACAGCCATGTACATACCAGAATGCCTGCATTTGAAGGGCAGCTCTGGCATCTGACTCCAGCTTCTTTCTAATGAAAACCTTAGGAGGCAACAGGTAATGTTTCAAGTAGTTGAGTACCTGCAATTCACATGGGAGACCCAGACTGAGTTTCCAGTTTCTGGCTTCAGCCCAGCCCAGGTATGAGGAGTGAACCAGAGGATCAGAGTTCTGTCTGTCTCTTCCTCTTGAATAAATTGAAAAGGGAAGGGGAGGGGAGGGAAATGGAAGGGAAACTGTGGCTTCTGTCTTACATACTCATTAATTCATTCTGTCTCTCTCTTTCTCTCTCATTACTTTCAGTTCAACAAGCTACCCTATAGTGAGAATCCAATGGAGAAGCCTATAGGTGAAAATCTGGAGTCTTAGACAATCAAAGAGAACTTCATAACCTTGAAAACAACATGTGAATGAACTTGTAAATGAATCCTTCCATTCCGGTTGAGTTCTGAGATTATGGCAGTATTGCCTGATAGCCCAACCACAACTCTGAGAAGACCTGAGCCAGAACCAGTCAGCTAAGCCATTCCTAGATTCCTGACCATCAAAAACTGTGAGATAATAATTTTTGTCTTTTTCTGCCACCAAATTTGAAATAATGTGTTATGTGTCAATACCTAATCAGTAGGGTATGTGAGCTGTGACAGCATACTACCTTGAATATTTTTAAAACACAGATGACAGATTATGAGACCTCATTTGAATATTAAGATGATTGCTTATCAGTTTACACTAGTTGCTTTAATTACTTTCATTAGATTTAGAAACAGTCTATTTGAAAGAACACTTTATATATACTTAGATTTTTAATATTAGTTGGAAAGCATAAAACCTTACTTGCTTTCAACTTTCTGTCAAATCCGTATATATTGAATTCTTTTATATTATTTGTCTTACATGAAAGAACTGTATTAGTGATTTTTGTTTAGGTTCCTTTTGGGGAATAAAGAGAATCAGCCCTTAGCATTCAGCATATTTAGGGGCTGACACTGTGATGTAGCAGGTTAAGGCACTGCTTGCAATTCCAGCATCCCAAATTTGAGTGCCTATTGGTTGTTTGACTTGTGATCCAGCTTTCTATTAATAGACCTTGGAGTTGAGGATGGCCCAAATAATTAGGCCCCTGACACTCACGTGGGAAACTACCATTGAGTTCCTGGTTTCTGATTTCAGCCTGGCCCAGATCTGGTTATTGCAGTCATTTGGGGAATGAACCAGCAGATGGAAGATCTCTGGCTCTCCCTCCTTCTCTGTCATTCTGCCTTGCAAACAAGTAAATAAATACATTTTTAAACAAAAAGTGTGTGTGATGCTACACATGCAAAAGATTTTAAGCAATTTAGCACGTTAATAAGAAAAACATCTTTTGGTTTTGGCTCTCATGAGTTGCTTACTTCTGAAGGTAATCACACTCTCTTTAGCTTTTATAGTAACCTGTTTATATCCAATTAAGATAAATGCCAATGATGGAATAAAGACAGTTGCTTCCAAGAAACTTTCTTACACTACCTTATGTGTAACCCTATTCCTAATTTTCTATATACAGTCATGTAGGAAAAGAAAGGATTTTGGACTTAAGTTATATGCCACTTTAAAATGCTTATGCAGTCAACCTATTATTTATATTCATGTCTGTTAAATTCTCAGCTTATAAATCTGCTGGTTATTGATCAATGATGGTTTGGCTTTGACAGCCAAAATTTTATGTTGATAATGATAAATTTTGTGCTTTATTACATCTATCAAATAGTGTATTACTTTACTTTTGGGGTAGGTTTAACTAAACCTAGTCCAAGAAATATACTGACTATAGAATTATTATATGGCAACATCCCAATTCAATATGTGACTTAAAAAAAAAGAGAAAGGCAAATGTTGGGGTACACCAGGATAAGCTGGCACTTGGTGACAGCTGCATCCCATATTATAGTGCCTTTTCAAATCCTGGCTCCTCCACTTATAATCCAGCAGTGGGTGGTGGCCCAAGTACTTGAGTCCCTGCAGCCCATGGGAGAGCTCGTTGGAGTTCCACCTCTTGGCTTTGACATAGCTCAACCTCAGCTGTTGTGGCATTTGGAGAGTGAACCGGCAGATGGAAGATATTCATTCTCTCTCTCTCTCTCTCTCTCTCTCTCTCTCTCTCTTTCTCAGCACTCTGCCTTTCAAATCAATCGATCAACCATGAAAAAGAAAGGGATATAAATTAAATATAAATTATGTCATTTAATAATTTTTTTCACAAAATAGCAGCATCTAGTGACCTATAAAGAGCCTCCGTCAGGGTGTTTCTGATGTATCTTTGCTCTTCAGTTTGAATCTGGCATTAGTTGTCACAGTGAGTTCAGCTGACAGCCAGATTATCAGGATCTCTTGCTTTATAGATTCAGTTTTTTGTGAAACTAAATCGACCTCCCCCCCAAAAATTTATTTATTTATTTATTTGAGGGACAGAGACAGGACAGACAGAGCTTCTAGATATGTCCACAGCACTCCTCAAATGCCAGCAATAGCCATGCTGAAGTTGGAATCTGGGAACTCAATTCAGTTCTCCTATGTGGGTGGCAGAGACTCAGTACTCTGGCCATCACCTGCTGGCTCCCAGGATGTACCTTAGCAAGAAGGAGAAATGTGAAGTGGAGTGGTGACTTGAACACAGGCACTCTATTACTCTAAGCAGCATCTTAACTGCTGGGCCAAATGTCTGCCCTTGAGCTTTTAATTTTCAGTTGTGTTTTTAGCCTAATGTCCATATTGCTATTCTTCCTACTATTTTAAAATTATCTAATATAGACCCTTGTATGTAGACAGTGCCAATGAGTTTCTGTGACTAAAATAGATAAATTACTTTTGAAAAATCAAACTAAAGACTATCTTTGAACAAAGAGCTATAAAAAGAAATTTGTCTTTGAAAGTAATTAAAATCTGCCTTTTCAGTTTTTATAGCAGAACAAAGTAATGTAAGCTATTTTTATCACTGATTGGCTTAATAGTATATGAATATTCTTTAAACTTATTGCTTGATAATCCAACATCCTGACTATAATGTATTCATACTTTGAACTTTCTTAAATACTGCTTATTTGAAGAAAGTTCCTGACATTATCTTTAATTATGATGAATAATTATGGTGTGCACCAGTTTGATTAAAAAAACAATGTAAATACTGTCTTTTATATGCAAAGAAATTAGTAGTAATTGAATATTTTTTTCTGTCAAAATCCCTTTGCCAAGATCTGCATGATACAATCAATAAGACAATGTGAGACTGATTTCAAACTCAAGGCCTTACTCTGTGTTTCAGTACATTTTGCTCACTTATCTTGAACATTACATGCAGGGATAGGATCTCACTCTCACTGTATTCTTAACTCTGAAACGATTTTAAATAATTCTCATGGAAATCACCTCCAAAGTACGTGGAATGGCAATTGCTAACTTAAATTCATGTTCACACCTAGTTCCACATTAACTGTATAAAACAAGGGCAAGCAGTAGTTTCTGTCCAACTCTTTCTTTATCTGAAGGCTGCTTATATTTTGTGTAAATTAATTGAACTGCATAACTTGTTATGTATATATATTATAAAATGCTTATTATATGTTAAATATTTATGTTCAAAAACTGAAAGAAGCGCTAGCTTTGTGGAGCAGCCATTTAGGCCACTGCTTAGGATGCCATCATCCCATATCAGAGTGCTGGCTTAAGTCACAGCTACTCTGCTTCCAATCCAGTTTCTTGCTAATGTGCTTGGGCAGGCAGTGGAAGATGGTCCAAGTATTTGCATCCCTGCCATCCATGTGAGAAACTAGGATAGAGTTCCTGGTTTCTGGCTTCAGCCTGGACCAGTCCTGGCCATTGTGGCCATTTTTGGGGGGTGAACTAGTGGATGGAGGAGCTCTCCTTCTCTCTGAAGAAACTTTCTGCCTTTCAAATAAATAAATAAATAAATAGATGAAATTTTCTGCCTTTCAAATAAATCTTCAAAAAAACAGGAAGAGGCAAAAATTAAGAATTTTTGAGACATCCTTGATATTATAAGCACTGTTTTGCAGGGTCTTAGTCCACCCATACAAGGATGGACTGGGTCCAAGGAAAGGTAAGTGCTCGCCCGTTCTGCAGCCTCCTGATCCCAGAGACAATCAGACGCAGCGGGGAGTCAAGTCGTAACAGAGCCTTTTATAGCACAAAACTGCAAAGTCATTGGGGCAGGGCTAAGGACCAAACAATCACTTAAATGGTCATTTTACAGGGTGATTTCTATAGGACTAGCCATATGTCTATACACTTGTTACTAGTTTTGTTACCTCCCCTGATGTTGCATGGCCAGTTAGCTTTAGTGGTAAACAACTTTGGATTTCACCCACCTTACTTCCTCTGGGCACCATCTTTGAATTGCTTTGTGTAACTAATTTCCCCACACTGTTTGAATCTTTCAAGATTAATGGAGGGTATTTTTTAATGAAATAATTATTTTAATTCCTTTAAAATTTAATACCAAAAATTTCCTTATCAATATAATTTAATTCCATATTAATATTTACTTTTGTACTTGCCTTATAGACCAGGGGTGGAGAACCTTTTTATTTTATTTTATTTTTTTGCCAAGGGCTATTTGGATATTTATAACATTTTTCACGGACCATACAATGTTGTCAGCTTAAAAACTAGACTGCTATAGATTTATTGAATTTCTGGTCCTAAACAGAAGTTGCCTGACAGGGACAGACCAAATGATTTTGTGGGCTTATATGTCCCACTGCCTGGACATTTCTTATCCCATTTATAAATAATAGCTCAATTAATAGTTTGTAAAACATAGCCTTTTTAACACTGATCTATCCCTCAAATTCAGCATTAGTCATTTAGTTAACACGACATTGTAATTAAAGTTTGGAGTTTTAAATAACTTAAGTAGACTCATCTATTCCTGAGGTAACTTTAAAATAGGCAGCATTATCACTCAGTAGAAGCCTGCAGTAAAATTTAATGCCAAAGTGACTTTTCTAACTGTATAGATTTCACAACTGATTCACACAAAAATATTATTCTATTTGATGGTCCCCAAAATAGTAGATATAGAAATGGAAAAGAATCATTGAGGGAGGAGTTCGAATTGGAATTTTATGATTAGGCAGCAGGAATGTCGTGTAATTCGCTTTAGTCATCAACTTTCAAGACATCAAACAGACTGAAAGGTACAATTAGAACAAAATATAGTATCAGGTAGTTGCTAATTTGGGAACTATTTCAGGAAATGATTCAGAAGTCCTCTCTGTAAATATTCATGAAATGATAAGCTGATGGTCCAAAATGCCCATGTCTTTAAAGAATTTTCTGCCATTTTAAGCCACATATCAAGTTGACATTCATTCTAATATCAACTACCAGATAACGCTTCTAAATGACCTTTTCTTCTTCTAGTTAAAAAAAATACTCTGAAATGTGGACACAGAGGTGGCACTCCTGGCTGACTCCTTGCTGAGAGATGTGAATTCGATGGGTGTTTTGGAGGTGTTAACCATTACATCTGCTGGAGCAGTTTTGGAGGGGGTGGTTGTCACTGTTCACTTGCCTCCTCAGAACTTCCTGGCTGTACTTACCTTCTAGGTTCTTTCCCACCAGAAACACCAGTGCCATTGCAGAATGTGGAATCAGGTCCATCCTGGGCTCCCCTGCCATCATGGGACTGGATAATACAACATAGAAGTGCAGGGGAAATGTTTCTCAGGGCAAATGTTGGCCAGTGCTTGGCAAGAGACACAAGAGACCACTTAAATTTCCTCTCTGTTCTTCCCAATGAAGGCACCTTTTCCATACCTGTCACCTTAAAACTGTGGAACACTTAGTCAGCATTTTCTTTCCAAATTTGCTTGCTTAACTTTCTTTTTCTCTCACTCTTTGTGTTCTGTGATTGTACTACAAATTAACACGTTCACTCCAAAATTGTATACTACTAATGTAATCCATTAAAATATAAAATCTTGAATTGGAATTGCTATAGATTTAATATATAATTTTATCCACTTAATAATCTCTTTTCCCTTTAAATTTACCATCCTAGAGTTGCATTTACTGAGACATGAATTGTTTTGGTGGTGATGGAGAGATATTAGGAATTCATTTTTGGATATTTAAACTTGAGGTGACTACTAAACAATTAAGTATAGATATAATGAAGGTAGTTGATTATGAGTCTGGATTTTGGAACAAAGTATTCAAGATGGAGATGCCAATGTGAGACCTTTAGCATCCAGATGGTCAATCATACTGAGTTTGGATGAGATTTACTAAGGACTGAATGTTGACAAAGCAAGGGACCCTGCATGACAAATAGCTAGATTTCTAGATTTATAGGTTAAGAAATGATACAGGCCCAGCATTGTGGCACAGCAGGTTAAGCCAGCAACCGTGATGCTGTTATCTCATATTGGAGTGCTGGTTTGTATCCCGGCTGTTTTGCTTCTGGTCTTGCTCCATGCTAACATGCCTGGGAAAACAGTGGAATATGGTGCAAGTACTTGGACCTCTGACACCCAGGTGGGAGACTGGGATGGAGTTTCTGGCTTCAGCCTTGGCTATTGTGGCCATTTGAGGAGTGAACCAGTGGATGTAAGATGTCTCTCTCCCCCTCTTTGTCACTTGCTTTTCACATAAAGAAATAAATCCTTTTTTAAAAAAAGAAATTACAATAGAACATCAAGCAGACTGGCAAAATGTCCAGAGAGGTAGAAAAAAACACATAGAGTGTGAAGTTTTGGATTTCAAGAGGCAAAAAAGAATGTAATGAGGGACAGAAAGTCGGTTAATGAATTCACTGATAATGACAGGTCAAGTATAAACAAATAAGACTGAGAATCCAAGAATGGATATTTCAGAGTGAAGCATAATGTGAATTTCATTGAAGCATATTTTGTTGAGTAGAAGGAATGAAAAATTAATTAGAAGGTTCAAGGGCGAATGTGTGAAGGAGAGGCAGTTGTGTAGACAGACACCTCATTCAAGGAATTTGGGTGTAGAAGGAAAGAAAAAAGATACAAGAAGGAAGAGCAAAGATATTTATTTAAAAATTAGCATATATTGAGGGAAATGACCCAGAAGAGAAAGAAAAAGTGAATGCTTTAAGACAGCTAGCAAAAGAAGTATCAGTGGGGCAATATTCTTTAGGGTGGGAGCAGGATCGACTCTCCTGGCCACTGGAAACTATGGACAGTTCACCCTCAGTAACAAGAGAAAATACAGAGATTCAGATAGGGTATACATATATAGTGTTGTGGGTCCATGATCAGTAGTTTATGATTATTTCTATTATCTTAATTTGATAGAGATCATTAGCTGAGAGTATGGCTTGAAAGGGAATTTTTGAAAAATCCCATATGGGACTTCAGAGTTGCAGGCAGTGACTTAACCCATTATGCCATAATGCCAACCCTTCCCTGAAGATCTTCATTATGGTTGTAGAAACGAGTACTACAGTGAAATTGTGATTTAGTGAAAATTCAGCATTTCTTTTAGAATCTGTTATGTCAGGATTTATTATAATTTTGATTATATTTCTATTGTAATTTATTTATTTTTTATATTTCACAGGAATTTTATACACTTTTTATTAACATGTAATGAGTGTATGTATTTATGGTGTTTAGTGTGATTTTAAGATGATTTTATGGTGAATACTGATAAAATCACAGTAATTAGCATTTCCATCTCCTCTATGAGTCCTGTGACAGAAGTTTTGATTTTAAAAATATATTTTTTTAAATTTGCTTTTGAAAGTCAGAGAGAAAGAGGGAGAGACAGAGAAAGAAGGAGACACAGAGTTAGACAAATAGTGATCTTCCATCTGCTGGTTTATTTCCCAAATGCCTACCAAATCCAGCTTTGGCCAGGCTAAAGTCAGGAACCTTGGGGCTGGTACTATAGGGCAGTAGGTTAATCCTTTGCCTGCAGTGCTGGCATCCCATTTGGGCACCGGTTATAGCCCTGGCTGCTCCTCTTCCGATTCAGCTCTTTGCTATGGTCTGGGAAAGCAGTAGAAGATGGCTCAAGTGCTTGGGCCCCTGCACTTGCATGGGAGACCCAGAAGAAACTCCTGGCTCTTGTCTTTGGATTAGCTCAGCTCCAGCCATTGCGGCCATTTGGGGATTTCAGCCATTTGGCCATTCCAACAGATGGAAGAACTTTCTGTCTCTTCTTCTCATTGTCTGTAACTCTATCTCTAAATAAATAAATAAAATCTTAAAAAAATGCAAGGAACCTGGAACTCCAGCCTGTTTTCCCATATGGGTGATAGGGAAACAACTACTTGATACACCACCTACTACCTCCCAGGGTGGGCATTACCAAGAATTTGGATTTAGAAGTGGAGTTAGAACTTGAATGCAGGCATCCCAAGCAACATCTTAACTACCATGTTGAGCACTTACTCTAACAGAACTTTTAATAAATATGCTTATAAGAGTCAATTTTCATGTTTGAAATTGATATTACATACATACACTGTATGCTGGTCACCAGGCCACAAGCTGAGATACACTCAGTAAACTTAAAATCTGATGAGAGAGATTAAACTTTAAAAATCATTTTAATCTTCCTATAATGGAGGTATGTATAAGCATCTATGGGAATGGAGAGATGGGATAGGTAATTCATTTTTTCTTGTTTAATTTGGATATTTTTTGAAGAGTTTATTTATTTTAAAGGCAGAATTTCAGAGAGGAGAGATATTGAGAGATCTTCCATTCACTGTTTCATTCTTCAATTGTCCACAATCGCCAGGGCTGGGCCCTGAAGAAGCCAGGAGCCAGGTGCTTCATCTGGGTTTCTTAGGTGGATGCAGGGGCCCAAGGACTTGGGCCATTTTCTGCTGCTTTCCAAGGCATATTAGCAGGGCGCTAGATCAGAAGTGGAGCTTGAACCGGGGCCCATGTCTAAGGCTGCAGCTTAACTTGCTGCTCCACAATGCTGGCCCCATTTTAATCTTTATAACAATGATTCTTATATTTCTTCTCTCACTCATTCGAAGGTTGCAACTTATCTTCTCTCAATCTCAGTAACTTTCTTACTTAAGTATGTATGATGACAAGTCATCCTGTAGACATGAATCAGAATCTCCAAGTAGGGAGGGGACATGGAAGTTGGAAAAGCATTGCACCCTTACATGAATGTTCTCTGTGAGAATTTGGCTATGTAAGATAATTATTTTTTTTGCTAGTATTGAGAAGAGTAAATTTCAAGGGAATAGCTTATAAGTCCCCCCCTCCCCCCATACACATACACACAGAAAGTTGGAGATAGGGCATGGGTCAGAAATGGTTGTGGCAAGGGTGAGGTGGAATAAATAGAGACCAGAATCTAGTATGTGTTTAATTGTAGGATGACAAGGCTGGATTTAATTTTCTGGAGATTACTGGAGACGTGATATACTCATACTCATAATATTTCAAAGTGCTTTTTAGTAATAAAGGATGATTGTGGGATGTTAGTCTGCAAATTTGGAGACCAACTGAAGAAGTCGCTGATTCAAGTGAGCAACAAGGATGGCTGAAGATTGAGGAAGTGCTGGGGCCGGCGCTGTGGCACAGTGGGTTAAAGCCCTGGCCTGAAGCGCCAGCATCCCATATGGGTGCCAGTTCTAGTCCCGGCTGCTCATCTCCCGATCCAGCTCTCTGCTATGGCCTGGGAAAGCAGTAGAAGAAGGCTCAACTCCTTGAGCCCCTGCACCCAGGTAGGAGACCCAGAAGAAGCTCCTGGCTCCTGGCTTCGGATCAGCGCAGCTCTGGCAATTGCGGCCATCTGGGGAGTGAACCAGTGGATGGATGACCTCTTTCTCTGTCTCTGTCTCTACCTCTCTCTGTAACTCTGTCTTTCAAATACATAAAATAAATATTAAAAAAAAAAGATTGAGGAAGTGCTGAATTGAATGTGTGGTCAATGACAACAGAAGCAGGTGCTGACGTTGCAGTACAGTAGGGTAAAATGCCATGTGGAACACCTGCTTTACATATTGGAGTGCCAGTCTGAGTCATGGCTGCTCTATTTCTACTCTAGCTTCTTGATAATGTGCCTGGGAAGGCAGCAGAAGGTGACCCAAGTGTTTGAGCTCTGGAACAAACATGAGAGGCCAGTTTCAGCCTGGCCCAGCCCCTGCTGTTGTGACCATTTGGAGAATGAATCAATGGATTGAAGATCTCTCTCAATCTTTCTATCATCTATCCCCTTCTTCCTTTCTCTCTTAAAAAAAGAAGCAGGGAAAGTTTGTCCTTTTTTAAACTTCTGCTGCACGTTTCAGCAAAGATACTTTTGTGTACATTACCATTTAATCTCCACTACCCTGAGAAATTAATGTTGCTTCATTTTTAAAGAAGAGGAATTTGAAGAACAAAAGATTTTTCTTTTGACATCCCAATGATGGCCAGTTAGGTATTGCAAAAGCTGGAATTAAGTCAGGTTGCTTTGGTTTCAAAATACATGCTCTCCTCATTATATAATTGTTTTTAGATTTATGAAAGGAACGATAGGAATATCAGAGTTTTTGCTTGATCAGTGAGTATTAGGCCCATTAAAGTGTGCAATACTGGATGCAGGAGAAGATCATGCATGCAGTTTTGGATATGACAGTGTGAGTTATCTGTGAGTGATCCATTTAGATATATATAGAAGGCTTTTGCACATGAAACTCTATAGTCAAAAGATGTACCCTCTGGATGTAGATTTATAGTCACAGAAATTTAACAGGCTTCCAGAGATAAGCAATAGAAGGATAAGAAAAGAGAGCCTAGACAGAAATTTGAAGATCAGCAATCTTTTAACAGAGACAAAATGAGTCTACAAAGGAGACAAAGCTAATCAGACAGCAAGAGCACCAACAAGATTTCTCAGACTGTGAGAAAGGAGAGAATTTTAAAGCATCTCTGGTGGTTCACAGGGGAAAATGCAGCATTATATTCAAGGCACGCACATTCAAACATTTTCCATACTGTCAGAAATTGGGTCAGCGGAGCTGGTGAAAAAGGCAGTTCATTGGAATGGCAGAGGTAAAAGAAGGATTTTTCAACTTACTAGCACAATGCTTTCAAAAAGCTGGACTGTGGGTGTGGCCCTGAGGTTAAGGGGCTGCTTCCGAAGACAGCATTCCATTTCAGAGTGTGGATTTAAGTCCTGGCTCTGTTCCCAGTACCAGCTTCCTTTAAACCTAGAGGCTGCAGGTGATAGCTCATGGAGCTGGATCCCTGTCATACACATGGGAGACCAGGATTGAGTTTCTGGCTTGAGCCTGGCTCAACCTCAGCTATTGCAGGCATTTGAAGAACACACTTGTTGGTGGAGCTCTATCAGTCTGCTGTCTCTCTGTCTCTCTCTATGTTTCTATGCCTTCCAAATAAATGAAATAAAGAAATAAAATGAAGCAAAAAACTTATTTGTGAAGGAAAAAGGATATGAAAAGGAATATACAGACGTGGGACATCTGAACTTTTTAAGATGGGCTAGCTTTAAATATACTTTTATTTATTTTATGTGTGATTATTTTAGCAAGCACTTCCTATGTGTTAAACATTGCTTACACTTTGCCTGAATTGTTTCATTTACTTCTTTACTTACTTACTTATTTACTTAATTTAAAAGACAAAGAGACAGAAAGGCAGAAAAAGAGAGAGAGATCTAACGTCCACTAGTTCTATCCCTGAATGTTACCTACAAGCAGCGGTGTGCCAGATCAAAAGCAGGAGCCTGGAACTCAGTCAGGTTTCCCTCATGGGTGGCAGGTGTCCAAATTCTTGGACCATCACCTGCTGCCTCCCAGGCTGCGCATTAGTAGGGAACTGGATCAGAAGTGGAAGAGCCTGGACTCGAACCAGGCACTCCAGTATAGGATGTGGGCATGCCAAGTGGCATGTTTGCTGCACCAACTGTTCTTCTTTCAAATGCAAGCAAGGGAAGCACAAAAAGGTCACCAAAATTTGCACAAGATCAACTTGCTGCAAAGAATAAGAGCCATGATTTACCTCTGAGCAGTTTGACTCAGGAGCCATCCTGTGTAACCTTTGCCTCCTGAGGAAGTGTTCAGAGGGGAGCAGATGGAAGACCCTTGGGGGAGAAGCCTTAATGGGTGCAGTGAGAGCCGATCCACCCCAAGGGCAGTTCAGGGGAGGGAGCATGAGGCAGTTGAACTTTGTCAAGTGGGGCTTCCCAGCTGACCAGAACCTCCCTTTTCATACAAGAGATTTAATGTAAATACAGAGCTCCTTCCAAAGATTGGTTTTATAAGCTATCATTTTCTTTTCTAGACTGTGTTGTGTTTGTGTAATATATTATATTAGTTATATAATTATTTATATAAATTAACTACTGAAAGTGATTCAACTTATCAGTTTATTCATACATAATACTAAGCCCTGTTAGTGATTACGGTTTTACTTTGCATTTTATTTCATTCATGAAACAAATACTGAGTATCTACTATGTGCTTGGTGTATTGTTTGGTTATTCTTTGTGGATAATCCTCAGGCCTAGGCATATCCTCAGAGCCTAGGAGAGGAATAAAAAATACACTGATTTCTTGATACATATTCCAAACAGAATATTCCTGCTGGCTGCTCATGTCTCCTTTAAAAACCATTCTAGCTCAAATGCTAGCTTTGTCCCTATTGGGAAGCAAGGCAAGTATGCTATGAAGGTCAAAGTTTACAGAGGAAGTAATAATCCAATGAAAGAGTCTATTCTCAGAATATTTACATTCCTGTTTTCTAAATGCAGTTGGTTTTCAGAAAACAGCTGAGACTGAGATAAACATTTGAACTCAGAATGTTTGTCCAAACTAGATCTTGAAAGTTATAGTCATTTTAAGTATTTCCTGTTGATTCGTAAACCCAGTATTTTCTCTTTACCTGCTGCCTCTTCTCTGCCTAGCAAGACTAAATATCTCCTGTGTAAAGTGTGCCTCTTGTTGGTGCAGGCAGGATTAGTCACTCTGTCTTCTGTGCTCCCCCTGCCCCGTGACCCCATATTTATATACATACAGATGTCCTTCATTGCCATTGCTGATTTGTTCCAGGTCCTTCTGCAGATACCCAAACCCACAAAGCCTCCAGTCCCTTCTGTACAACACTCTAGAGTCTGCATATAACCTGTGCCTATATTTCATACACACCAGATCATCTCTAGATGATTTATAACGCCCAATGTAATATAAATATGTAAATGTTTAAATATGTACACAGCTGCTGTACTGTATTGTTTAGAGAATAATGGCAAGAAAACAATCTATGTGTTCAGTACAGACACATTTTTTCCCCAAATATTTTCTCCCTGTGGTGGGTTAAATCTGTGCAATCTGCAGCTACAGAGGGGCTGCCTGTACTTAGAAGCAGATTTGCTGTGAAGAGAAGGAAGCTTACTTTTCGGGATGAGCCCCAGGGAGAAAGCTAGCCACATGTCCACATAGTTATATGTTTTCATGAAATTGGCAAGTGGAATTTTTTAAAATCACAGCCTGGGGGCCTAACATCCTGTTGCACTCCCATCTTTTCCTGCTGACCACCTCCCTTGTGACCACCGTCTTGCTGAGGCTGTCGACCTTTCAAAGATCTGAGAAGGAACATATGGCAGTTAGTGGGCTGTATCTGTGTGCCTCACTGTCACTTCCAAGTGCAGTTGCATTGCGACCAGCCCAGCAGCTCCAGGCAGAAACATTCTCCAGGACTCCTGCTAACCCTGAGCTGGTTCCTGAAAGTGCAGCTCACAAGTTACGTGGTGGCAGGTAGGTGTTCTAAGGGCATGTCAAAGCATGTGAAAAGAGGAAGAAGAAAGAGGCAGATTCTGCTTCTGTGGCAGGGACCCTGGTGGCTGTGGTCACAGACTTGGAGGCAGCCAACAAGTGTGACTGAAGCCTAAAAGGTAAGTGACAAATATGAAATTTGATTGTGGGCTGCCCACTGGGTTGGGATGAGCAGTCCCAGGCCTGCTTTGCAATTTTACTTTTCCTCCACCCAATGCTGACTCTTCACTTTCCCTTTCACAGTTATTACTCTCTAATCAATGTCTTATACCCCAGTCTCTGTCTTGGCATGTGCTACTGGATAGTCCAATATTTGGCAATTGTCTTAGTTTGGAAAAATAATTTTCAGAGTAAATGTAAAATCGTGGCTCTCCTATGTCTCTAAAAGTGAATACATGTTAAAGAGGTTTATTTCACTTGTGGAATGAGTGAGCCAGGCAGATATTATGACCAATTCAAAGGAAATGTTAAAGCAGCATAAGTTAATACATATTTTGAAAGGAATTGCAAATGAAATCAGAAGTCACTTTTCCACATGGTGGATGAAGCCGATTAAATAACCTAGGGAGAAGAAAAATCTGGAATCAGTTACCTACAACTCACAGCATTGTAAAATTTCTCAAAGCTAACAAAGAGGCCTAGAGGATGATCACTGGGACGTGTATACTATAGAAGATGCATAGTTTTCCATTGAAACACACATTTTGGGGATACGTTTAGTACTTTTTGAACTTCTACACTTTTACTTTCAAAAGAAAGGATGGATGAAGTTTAGTCTGCAAATTCTGTTGGGTTTTCAGGACAGAGATGACAGATAATAGATACATGTTAGATAGACACGCAGACAGACAAAAGGACTTTTTGAAAGACTTGCAAACAGTTATAAATTAAATAATAAAAAATCCAACAAACATAAGTAGCTATAAATGACTCTTTGTCACCAAAATAATCAATATTCACTCTCGTATTTACCTTATCACTCAAATACAACATTTCTACTAAACAGAAATGTAAGTAACTCTCTCAAACAATTAAGTAGAAAATATCATGATCAAATTTAGCATCTTTTAAATAAAAGTATGAGTTACATGCGTGCTAAAACAGAAATATCTGGAATACAGATGGATGCATGATAATGTGCAATAATATTTTCACCATGTGGTAAGTGAAAGAGAGGGTTTGGAAATGCATAAAATTATATCTGAACAGACATTTCTTTAAGGTACAATCCGTTTGTTGCTGGGAACAGAGTTAGAATTTCACAAACAGGATTGGGGTCTGATTTGGTAGATTTTCAAGTCCGGTTTCAAAAGTATAAGTCCTGCCATGATTGAAACTTTAGGAAAATATGTAGGTTTTTCTGGAAATTTGTGGACTTTTAAAATTAAATTTTATGAAGTTGGAAATGGTCCATGGTATGTACTGTATTAATATTCTGTAATGTTAATGCTTAAATTTTCCAATTCAAATGTTTGAGGTGTGACAATAGATTTTAAATGATTGATTTAAGTAATTTTAAATGATGTGTTTGATATTTTAGGAGTGTTATTTATTCCTCACAATCAAGTGATGTGTATGAGTTGTTATTTGTACAATTCTTCACATTGAATGGAAGAATAGAGTCCTTTGTATTCAAGAAGATATTTGGGAGCCTGGTCTAACGATACAAAATTGCTCTTGCAGAACACTAAGACAAAACAGGCTGTATTGTTCTTTCTCAAAGAGCACAAAAGGCAATCAAACATGTGAGCTAGAATATGGTAATTATTGAGAATGTTGATGGCACTGTGAAGAAGATTACACCACAGAAGATAAATGCTTCTCTGTGGATGAATTTTCTGAAAAATCTGTGGGGGAGGGCTGGCACACTTCTTGTTTCTGCCTTGCACACAACCATCCATTTGTGTAATCTACCGAATCATATTTCTTGATTTAGTGATTTATTTTGGAAAGCATGGAGGTCACAATCGATTTATTCTCTAGCAGACACATCATAAAGGAAAACCAAAAGGTAGAGAAGGAAGAATTGACACGAACATGCTAAAGGTGCTCTTTTGCAAAAGAGCCTTGGCAGGTTGGGAGCCAAAGGAGCTCATATCGGTGCAGTCAGTTTGGTTTACAAGGCAGCCTCTCACCACCAAGACAGATCCAAGACTCAGGGACAGATGTCCTTGGTGTGACTTCCCTGACCATTATTCTCTCTGAAACTGCTAAGAGATTGCATAGATGAAACCTATTCTTATTCATGTTTTTGCAAAACTTGAAAATGAATTTCTGCCTGCTGCTTCTCAGATACTGACAACTGAATCCAAAATGTCAGAACTCAAAGTGCTAGATTTTGAAAGAATAAAATAGGAACAAAGAAGGAATCATTATTCCATATTAACGCTTTTAATCAATAGTGGCAATGGCTGGGCAATCACATCAGAATTTATAATCAGAGTTGGGAGTCAGGGGTGGCTTGCTGCCATCTGAAATCCCCTTGCATTGGTGATGGATTACTACTGATGAAAATGTCAGGGGGGCTAGGTTGTAAAACTTTGTGACTATTGCACATTTTCCCAGTTCTTTTTATTTTCCCAACCCTCCTATTTTTGACAAGATCAAAGGATTTCTGGTTTGTTCTCAAGCATAAATACTGCTGTAACTTCATCCCTCTCATTAGATCAGTGGACCAAGTAATAAATCTAGTTACTGTCCCACACAAGAGGCGGAAGACCTCTTGAGAAGTCCCTCCCTTCCTTTTAAAAGAAAGAAGCGTGCATTACCTTAAACCAGCTAATCCACCCCACCTAAAAATTTTGATTATGAACATGTTCATGACTTAAGAATAAGGATATAATATGAGGACTGAGGGATTTATTAGGTCTGTATATATCCATATCTACCACAAGCATGTGATTGCCCCATTTCATTGGATATAAACTTACAGAAACTTTACTATTGAGACTTCCACTGCCCCTTTAATTGGGACTATGCCCATTCTTACATATGGATGCACACTTATACTGAAATTTGGCTTGACTTTTCTGGTTGTTTTGGGTGATCACAATTTCTCATTTCAATTCCAAAATTAAATGAACTTGATTTTCAGTTAAGATTTTGACTCTTTCTTTCATTAGCTTTATCATTATTCTACTGCTTCCACTGTCAATAACACCACTTACTTGTTCAAAGAATCTTTTATGAGCATCGCTTCTGTCCTGGCCACTGTTCTAGGTCAAGGATGTTCAACAGCAAATCGGGCATCCATAGTCCTCCTTAAAAAGATATATTTATCTATTTTGAAAGTCAGAGTAGCAGAAAGGGAGAGGTACAGAAAGAGATCTTCCATCTTCTGGTTTACTCCCCAGATGGGTACAGCAGCCAGTGCTGAACCAGGATGAAGGCTGGAGCCAAGAGCTGCATCCAGGTCTCCCAACTGAGTGGAGGGGGCCCTAACAGTTAAGTCATCTTCCACTACTTTTACCAGGTTATTGGAGGGAGCTGGATTGAAAGTGGAGCAGCCAGGACTTGAACTGGTATTTAAATAAGATGCTTGCTTTGCAGGCGGTGGCTTTACTGGCTATTCTACAGTGCTGGCCCCATGGTCCTTTCTTTGAAATAGTCTGCAGTCTGTTTATGGGAAAAAGATAGCAAATGTTTAAACAAACCAAAAATAATTGTCATGAAATACAAAAATAAAACAAACATGTAAAAAGCTGGGATTGATTTCTCTGCAGGGACAGCAAAAATCTGATGATATCTCTGCAGATATACCTATTTCATCCACATGGAAGAAGCAATATTCGGAGTTATAGCAAATGCTAGGTTTTTGGAATTTAACCAGGTTTTACTGAAGGCTTAAGAACAGCTTGAATCGAGCAGATGGAACAAACAACTCTCTATAGCAAGTTTCAGGAGCTTCTGGACAAACCCTTTTTGCAAAGCATGTACTTTTTCCTGGTAGGCTTCTATAGAGTTATCTGCAGGCATTTCTACAGCTTATAACCTAGGCCCACCTCCTTGTGGACTAACAAAGCACGGTAATATTTTCTAATCAAAATCCAATACCTCAGATGACTGAGAGAGATTCTATTCTTTTCCTTAAAGGGAGTTTGCTCTCAGCATCAAGAACAGACCAAGAGATGCTCAGCAGTTCACAGTAAGCATCCACAACCCACATCATTCAGCCTTTCATAACAGTATTCCTAGGATGAAGCCCACTTACTCTAGGTAAACTTTCTCTAAATTCAGTCCAATTCCTTGTCGAAAACTTCATAGTGTTACAAACAGAAGAGAATCTCAGTTTTGTGTGTCTATCCTGTTATATCCTTCAGGAAAATTCTTGTACAAACAAACATAGATATCTCAAGAACATATACTTCAGGGCTGGCACTGTAGCATAGAGGGTAAAGCCACCACCTGCAGTGCTGGCATCCAGTTTGAATCCCTGTTCCACTTCTGATCCAGCTCCCTGCTAATGCACCTGGGAAAAACAGCATAAGATGGTCCAAGTGTGTGGGAGAACCAGAAGAAGCTTCTGGCTTCTGGCTTTGGATCTGCCCTGCTCTGGCTGTTGTGGCCATTTGAGGAGTGAACCAACAAATGGAAGATCTCTCTCTCTCTCTCTCTCTCTCTCTCTCTGTAACTCTGCCTTTCAAATAAATAAATAAGTAAATAAATCTTTAAAATACGAGCACATACTTCTTGAGATACAAGTCAGCTTAAACCCATACTTCAGTAGAAAATGTTTCGCATGATTTACATGTGAATTTGAAGTATCTGGTTTTCAGTCAGCTCACTAATGGTCAGGACTTGCCAGAAGCATGAATACAGGGTTACTTTATTCAATCCCATCTACAAGATATCATTAAGATATCACCTTTAAGGACAGAGTAAAGAACTTCCCTAAAGACATTTCATCAAAAGCTAAAACTGCTCATGATTTCCTCTGAAGTATGTTTTTTCTAGTTTAGTGTAACTGGGTACTTGCCTAATTGTGCTTGACCCTATTCACAACTGTGCCACTTAAGGGTCAAATGTTTAATTTTTTTTTTTTTGTCTTTTTGCTCTAGAATCTAGTCATTGCCTAGGACTAGATTCAAGGATTCAGTAAAATGATTTGCTCAGATTGAAG